CCACCATGGCTAACATGGTGAAACTCTGTCACTACTAAAAATACAAAAATTAGCTGGGTGTGGTGGTGGGTGCCTGTAATCCCAGCTATGAGAGGCTGAGGCAGGAGAATTGCTTGAACCTGGAGGCAGAGGTTGCAGTGAGCCAAGATCACACCATTGCTCTCCAGCCTGGGCGACCAGAGTGTGAGCCTCCATCTCAAAAAAATAAGATAAAATGAGTTAAAGGAATAGCTTCAGAGAGATAAAGAGGGATATTAGAAATATGAAGCAATAATAAGCTAGAGACAATGGTTATGGAAAACATAGTAATTGAAATGAACTTAGTAGATATAGGTTGACTAACAGACTGCATACCATCACATACCAAAATAGTAAGGTAGAAATTAAAATTACTTGGAAAACTCTCCCAGAAAGTTATCTGGAAGCAATAAAGAGATGGGAAATGTAGGCTGGGTACGATGGCTCACATCTGTAATCCTAGCACTTTGGAAGGCTGAGGTGGGCAGACCACGAGATCTGGAGTTCAAGACCAGCCTGACCAACATAGTGAAACCCCGTCTCTACTAAAAATACAAAAAATTAGCCAGGCATGGTGGCGTGCCCGTAGTTCCAGCTACTCAGGAAGCTGAAGCAGGCGAATGGCTTGAACCCAGGGGCAGAGGTTGCAGTGAGCTGAGATTGTGTCACTGCACTCCAGCCTGAGTGATGGAGTGAGACTCCAAAAGAAAAAAAAAAAGAGAGATGGGAAACGTAAAAGTTAAAATATATGCACCAAACTCTGATAACAATACCTAACAACTTTACAAGAAAAAAGAACTACAGATAAATAAATATCCTTCATAGACATAGATGAAAACACCGAAACAAAATATAAGTTAATTGAATCCAATTATGTAGAGATTGTATAAAACATGTGAGTTTATTATAGTTGCAGGATATGAAATCAAAATACAAAAATTGTATTTCTGCATCCTAGCAATGGAAAATCAAAATGAAATTAAATCATTTCATTCAAAATCACATCAAGGTCGGTGCCATGGCTCATGCCTGTAATCCCAGCACTTTGGGAAGCTGAGGTAGGCGGATCCCTTGAGCTCAGGAGTTTGAAACCACCCTGGGTAACATGGTGAAACCCCATCTCTACAAAAAGTACCAAAAAAAAAAATTTAGCTAGGCATGGTGGCATACACCTGTGGTCCTAGCTACTGGGGAGGTTGAGGTGGGAGAATAGCTTGAACCCAGAAGGTCAAGGCTGCAGTGAGCCATGATCGTGCCATGGCACTCCACCCTAGGTGGCAGAGGGAGACCCCGTCTCAATTTTTTTTTTTTAAATCACATCAAGAATAAAATGTTTAGGAATGAATTTAGCAAAAGATATGCAAAAACTTGTACACTAAGGCCAGGCACGGTGGCTTACACCTGTAATCCCAGCACGTTGGGAGGACAAAATGGGAGGATCACAAGCTCAGAAGTTCAAGACCAGCCTGGCCAACATGGTGAAACCCCATCTCTACTAAAAGTACAAAAACTAGTCGGGCGTGATGGTGGGCACCTGTAATCCCAGCTACTCAGGAGGCTGAGGCAGGAGAATCCCTAGATCCTGGGAGGCAGAGTGCAGTGAGCCAAGACCAGGCCATTGCACTCCAGCCTGTATGACAGAAGAAGACTCAGTCTCAAAAAACAAACAAACAAACAAATAACAACAACAAAAACCCTTGTACATTGAAAACTACAAAGCATTGTTAAGTTAAAGACAATCTAAATGGATATTTCATTTTCATGGATAAGACACAATGTTGTTAAGATGACAATCCTCCCCACGCTTACCTATATATTCCACACAATCCCTATCAAAATCCCAACAAGTTCTTTTGTAGAAATTTACAAGCTGACACTAAATTTATACAGAGATGCAAACAGTCAAGAATAGCCAACACAATTTTCAAAAAAAGAGAAAGTTGCTAGCCAGGTACAGTGGCACATGCCTGTCATCCCAGCTACTCGGGAGGTGGAGGCAGAATAATCGCTTGAACCTGGGAGGCAGAGGTTGCAGTGAGCCAAGATCGTGCCACTGCACTCTGGCCTGAACAAAAAGAAGGAGGAGAGGACGTGGGGAGGAGGAGGATACGGGGAGGGGGAGAAGGAAGGGGGACGGGGAAGAGGAGGAAGGAAGAAAAGAAGGATAAGGAGAGGAAAGGAAGAAGACGAGGAAGAAGAAGAGGAGGAAGAAGAAAGGAAGAAAGAAGAAATAGAAGAAGGAGAAGAAGAGGAGGAGGAGGAGGAAGAGGAGGAGGAGGAAGAAGAGAAGAAGATGTAGAAGTGGAAGAGGAGGAGGAGAAAGTTGGATTTACTATAAAGTTATAATAAGAGTGTGGTATTGGTGTAAAAATACACATATAGATCAATGACACAGAATATAAGGTCCAGAAACAAATCCTTATCTTTGTTGTCAATTGATTTTTTTTAAATACCAAGACAATTCAAGGAAAAAGAATAGTCTTCAACAAATGGTGATTGGACAATAAGATATCCACGTGTAGAAACTTAAACCATTACCTTTTCCATCCATATGCTTAGTTCTACCACATGTGGGTTCCACCACTTTGGAAATTTGATCCACAGTTGGTGGAACCACAGATGTGGAAGTGTGGATGCAGATGGCAGATTGTAGGACTTGAGCATTAATTGGATCTGTGGTTGTCCTGTAACCAATCCCCCACGGATACAGAGGGATGACTCTAGATACAAAAACCAACTCAAAATGGATCATAGACCTAAATGTAAAAGCTAAAACTATAAAACTTCTAGAAAACATAGGAGAAAACCTTTGCAACCCTGGGCTAGGCAAAAAGTTATTAGTGTGGCACAAAAAGCACCATTCATTTAAAAATTGAGAGGCCAGTCGCAGTGGCTTACACCTGTAATCCCAGCACTTTGAGAGGCCAAGGTGAGTTGATCACCTGATGTCAGGAGTCTGAGACCAGCCTGACCAACATGGTGAAACTTCATCTGTACCAAAAATACAAAAAAATTAGCCAGGTTTGGTGGCGCGTGCCTGTAGACCCAGCTACTTGGGAGGCTGAGGCAGGAGAATCGCTTGAAGCGGTGGGTAGAGGTTGCAGTGAGCAGAGATCGCACCATTGCATTCCAGCCTGAGTGACAAGAGCGAGATTCTGCCTCAAAATAAAAATAGATAAACTGGATTTAATCGAAGTGTAAATTTTTTGCTCTTTTAAAGACACGACTAAGAAAAGGAAAAGCCAGAGACTGGGAGAAAATATTTCCAAACCATACAAGGAATTGGTATTATGTATTCCTTTGTATCAATTATCCAGAAATTTGGCAGTTTAAAACAAGAAACATTTATCCTCTCACACAATTTCTGAGTGTCTGGAATCTGGGTGCAGCTGTTGGCCAGAGCTGCAGTCATGTAAAACTGGACTAGGACTAGAGAATCTTCCTCCAAACTTACTCATATGCTGTTGACAAGATGAAATTCCTTGCTGGGCCAGTGCATTAGTTTGCCAAGGCCACTATAATGAAATAGCACAGACTGAGTGGCTTAAATTTATTTTCTCATAGTTCTAGATGCTAGAACTCCAAGATAAGTTGTCACCAGTCTTGTTTTTCTCTGGAGCCTCTCTCGCTGGCATGCAGTCGGCCACCTCACTGTATCATCACATAGTCTTCTCTTTGCAGACCTCCCTGGTGTCTCTTTTTGTGTCTAAATTTCCTCTTCTTATAAAGATATCAGTCAGATTAGATTAGGGCCCACCCTAATGTTCTCATTTTAATAAAAATCACCTTTAATGGTCCTGTCTCCAAATATAGTCACAGTATGAGGTATTGGATATTATGGAGTTAACACACGAATTTGATGGGACACCAATTCAGCCTGTAAAAGCAGTAACTTCGGGCCCCTGCCACATGGGACTCTTGGTACTCACAACCTGGCAGCTTGCTTCTCTCAGAGTGAATGATCTAGGAAGGAGAATAAAAGAACAAGAGCCTAAGGGAGAAATCACAGCCTTTTTTCAAACCTAATCTTAGAGGTAACACGTTGTATGCTATCAGTAACTCAGACTAATCCTGGGATGACGTGGCAGTCTACACCTTGGTCTGAACACGTGAACATGGGGGCGAGGTGGGAACGGGTGATCATTGAACATATCGGTGCTTGTCTACCACAAACCTATATCCATAATATATGAAGAACGATTACAATTTGATAATAAAAGACGTCAATTAAAAATGTGCAAAAAATAATTTGAATAAACTCTTCATTAAAGAAAATATATAAATGGCCAGTTGGCACATGATAAAATGTTCAACATCATTAGTCATTAAAGAAATGCAAATTAAAGTCACAACGACATCTATAATCAAATAACTGATAATACCTATGATGTTCTCTGAGAGAATCTGGCAGGAAACTGGGAATGGGGAACAGCCTGACATAGGCTGTTACAGAGAAAGAATGGAAAAAAGTTCATGCCCTCTTTCCTAGTTGACATCCATCAGGATTCCCATTTATATATTGAATTTGTGTCCGTCGCTGCTAGTTGATTCCCATGTATAATCTCATAATCTTCGCAATGACACTAGGAGATTTGTATTACTAATACCATGGTCCTTAATTTACAGCTTTAAGAAACTACAGCTTGGAAAGGCGTGGCGTCAGGTGTGTCCTCCACTTTCATTGAAGATTGGATTTAATCGTTAACAGATTAGAGTGGGTTTTCCCATTTCCAGAGTCTAAGGGTTTTACTTCTCTCCCTCCGCTGGGCTCCTCTATTCTTCACACCCAGTAGGGCGTGAAAGGTGGCCTAGGGTGTGGCCCAGGAGGTTTCCCTAGAGGAACGGTGGGGCGGAACCCAGGCGGGAGGTGGGAATCCCAGTGGGCAAGCCACGCAGTTTACTCAGGTTGCCCCGAACAATCTGGCAGGTCCGCCGCAGAGCCGTAAAGAGCTCTACAAGTCGTGAAGTGGCGAGGCGCAAAAGCGTTGCTTTACGGCGATTCTAGTAGTCGCGTCAAGCAGGCTATTCCGGGCGTTTGGCTGCTTGTCTCCGCACGTGGGACGCTGTAGGTACTGCTGCCGGTGCTTTCTCCTGTGAGTGTGCAGCAGCCACGCTGAAGGACAGAGTGGCGGCAGAGGCCAAGGATTGTGAGTTGATGGAGTTTGCTGCTGAAAATGAAGGGAAGTCTGGGGGAGGCCTCCAAGGTGTCGCCGAGGCGCTGCGGCTAAGTCCAGAGTCTGGTAGGGAGGGAGTCAGGGACTTAGCAGGGGCGGAGGAGACCGGCGGCGGAGAGGAGGGGAAACGACTGACAGGGATGAAGATAAGGGATGGAGAGGAAGGGAGTGGACAAAGGCCAGAGGAAATACCGATGGACCTAACGGTAGTGAAGGAGGAAATTATGGACTGGCCAGATACCGCAGACAGGTTGGCTGGCCAGTGGGTAAAACAGGAGTCGGAGGATAGGCCTGAGGTGGAGGATGAGAACGCAGGCGTATTGGAGGTGAAGCAGGAGACGGATAGTAGTTTGGTGGTAAAAGAAGAGAAAGTGGATGATCCAGAGGTAAAGGAAGAGAAGGTGAAGGAAGAGGTAATGGACTGGCCGGAAGTGAAGGAAGAGAAGGATAACTTGCAGATAAAACGGGAGGAGAAGTTTGTTGGTCAGTGCATAAAAGAGGAGATGATGGATGGAGAGTGTGTAAAAGAAGAGAAGAAAGAAGCCATGGATGATACAAAGGTGAAAGAAGAGCCTCCAATAAATCACCTGGTGGGCTGCAAGCGGAAACTGGCCATGTCAAGGTAGGACAGGGGGAATTCTATTTGGGGATATAAAGCTGTTGCGTCCTCATGTCTAGAGTGAAAGGAAAAACCACCCTATCAGCAGAAGGTGAAATAATGAAAAATAAGCACAAGTTTGGGTTTCTGGAGTCAGTCTGGGTTCGTGGGGGTGGCTTGGGAAGTGGAGGGTGTTGTAGATGACAACACAACAAATTCAGTGAAAATATATGAAATTGGTAGTGTCCATTGGGTAATGGTCAAGTTAGGAAAGTGAACGTTCTGGGGACCAGAACATCATTTGGAACTGGATCTGGCTTGACTTAATATGCTTATTTACTTGGTATTCCTTTGAAAGAGAATAGAGATGAGAAAGTCTAATATATCCAACAATGACAAAGTGGATTAAGTTAAAATTAGGCAAAAATACACTTGACCTCAATTATCAAGTTTCTGCATGGATGTTGTGACTATTTATTGCTTTTTATTTAATTTCCTTGGTGTGTGGATCATGTGACAAAGGAAATAAGAGTGGTCAGATTCTTGGGAATATTAACATCTGGAGCTCAGTGGTCCAAATAGAAGTAACTGTAGTTTGGTTGTCAGTATCCCAGAAGCCTAGAAGAGCAGTTGAGGCCAGGTGATGGGTTACATGGGATTTTTAGATTATTTTGATGCACATTCTAGATTAGGTATGGAGTTCAGGAAAAAAGATGTTACTGCTACTCATTAAATTCGACTTGTCCTTATATTCTTTTTCTGGTGTGTGTGCTTTAAAAACATCTAAACACAGCTCATGGATTGATCTTCTGGATTCACACACATATAATCATTACCACATTTCCAGGAATCACAAGTTAAAATATCAGTGAATAATCTGATTATCTGATTATAGTAAAAAAAGAAGTTAAAAGCAAGGTGGGTTTTAAAGATTTTAATACGTTTTCCTGAGTTACGTATCACTAGCAACATTGGAACTGTAGTTGTTTGCGGGGGAAGATTTCACAGAGAATTTTCAAATGATGTTCAACAGCTGTCAAATATTTTATCAGATTTGTCACTACATTTATAAATTGATTGGGACATTCTAAGTTTATAAATAAGTAGAATTAATATTTGATAATTTAATGTTACACATGGGCTTTTGTAGGTGTGAAACGTGTGGTACAGAAGAAGCAAAGTACAGATGTCCACGTTGTATGCGGTATTCCTGCAGGTATAGATGTAACTTCTTACCTTTTAACCTGTATTTGTACCTTTCTTACGCTAAAATGTAAAAATGCTTCCCTTTGTCTCCTCAGTTTGCCCTGTGTAAAGAAACACAAAACAGAACTGACATGTAATGGAGTTCGAGATAAAACTGCATACATTTCAATACAACAGTTTACTGAAATGAATCTCCTAAGTGGTAAGCCACTTCATGCACAGCAAATTGATGCTCCCTGGCCATTGGTATATGCCATTTATTCTTCTGTTTTGAAATTTCTAGATTATCGTTTTTTGGAAGATGTGGCAAGAACAGCGGACCATATTTCTAGAGATGCTTTTTTGAAAAGACCAATAAGCAATAAACATGTAAGACTTTTTAAAATTCCTTTCAGTTAGAAGTCCTTCCAATCAATTAGATTCTTTTTTTTTTTTAACTTACCAAATATATTAAGTGGCTACTATGATATAGGGCTATTCTGATTATGAAAGGATGTGACCGTGACCAAAACAAGTCCTTCCCCTCGTGGAGTTGTATTTAGTGGGAGGGACAGGAGATGAGTAGAGGAACAAATATAATTTCAGATAAAGTTCATATGGAAAATAAAGAAGGCTCAAGAGATGAAAGAATGAAAATGATCTTTGTCGGGGAGAGATTGTCAGGGTACCATTTTCAATACAGGGGTCAGGAGAAGCTTCTCTAAGAGATGATATGTAAGCAGTGATCTGAATGATGAGAAAGAAGCTGTCATGTGAACATTTGGAGGAAGATTATTCCAATTAGAGGCAAAAGTAAAAGGAAAGACCTGAGTCGGAAACAAGGATGTTGTGTTTGAGGAATTAAAAGATGGGCAGGGTGATTGAAGCATAGTGAGTGAGAAGGAGAGTATTAAACATGAAGTTAGAGAAACTGGTGAGGAGTTGGGTGCAGAGACTCATTCCTGTAATCCAAACGCTTTGGGAGGCTGAGGCCGGAGCATTGCTTGAGCCCAGAAGTTAGCGACCAGCCTGGACAATATGGTGAAAAACCCATCTCTATAAAAAAAATACAAAAATTAGCCAGGCATGGTGGTGTGCCCTTGTAGCAACTTGGGAAGCTGAAATGGGAGGATCACTTGAGCCCAGGAAGGCCAAGGCTTCAGTGAGCTATGATTGCACCACTGCACCCCTGCCTGGGCAGCAGAGTAAAACTCTGTCTCAAAGGAAAAAGAAAGAAGAAAAGAAACTGGTGAGGGTTCTAATTCTAAGTGCAAATGGAAACCATGGAAGGATTTTGAACATAAATTTGCCTTTTGAAAAACCACTCTTGCTACTGTGTGGACTTCAGGGAGGCAAGAGTGGAAGACTGGAAGCAGGGAGACCATTTATGCAGCTCTTCCCGTGATCCTTGTGAGATAATATTGGCTTGGGTATACTGTTAGAATTATTGAGAGGAGATTAGATTCTGATTTTGAAGGAAAAGCTAAGACTTGCTATTCTAATACACTTAATTTTCATACTCTTGCATTGCCTTTTTCATTCCTTAAATACTATGCAAAAGCAAAGCTTACATATTTGGAATGTTTGGCAACTGGTGTTGTAAAAATTCATTCATGGTGCAATTAAATCATATCCTGCAATTGTGTTCATTTTAGTATCGGAGTTGCAGAATTTTAATACCTTTTAAACACCTTATTTTATTGGTATTGGCATTTTTTATTGGTATTATATTACACGTATCTGAAAGAAAATTATACAGCAACTCTTATTTTTCCTTACACTTAATTAGGCACAATTAAAATTCTACTTAAATATAAATTAGTTTAAAACTTTTTTTAATTGTAAAATATAGCATGTATTTTTTTTTTAGAAAATCAAAGAATGGAAATACATAGTATAATGAATAATTATAAAATGAACATTCGTGTAACTACCACCCAAGTCTAGAATTAGAACATTACTGGCTTCCCAGAAGTTCCATGCCACCCTCTTATGCCCTTCCCTGATCTTTATGTGTGTGACGATGTTTGTCTAGGGTTTATACCTGAGAATAGAATAGCTTTGTTGTGTGGTATGCATATCTTCAGTTTGCCAAGATGTTACCAACACATTTTCCAAAGTGATATATACTAGTTTATACTCTCACCAGTAGTGTATAAATGAACCTATTGTCATATTCTCGCCAATACTTAATTTGGTAAGACTTTAAAAATTTTTGTCAATCTATTGGCTATGTAATTTTATTATGGTTTTCAATGTGCAGTTCTCCAATTCCTGATAAGAGTTAGGAAGTTATTCCCTTATAATTATTGCCTAAAAGCTTTATACTATTGCATTTTATACTTATGTCTTTAACTGGAATTGATTTTTGGTATCATGTACAGAGAAGGTCCCATTTAATTTTTCATATAGATAATCCACTTTTCCCAGCACCATTTATTGTAAAGTTCATCCTTTCCCTACTGCTCTGTAGGACCACCTTTGTTATATATCAGCATCCCTATATGCCTGGGTTATTTTGTGGCCTTGTCTTTTCCATTCCATTGACCTACTGGTCTATCCTGCACCAATACTACACTCTCTCAATTATTTTAGTTTTTTACGGAAACTTGTTATCTATTAAGGCCTCCCGCTTCCTTTTCTCTGGTGTTTGGCTATTCATTGCTGTTTGCAAGGCAAAATAATTGCAAATCTAAGCAAAGGATGGCCCATAGCCATAGCCGCTAATGGACTTTTTTTCTTTTTTCCTCTGTTTCAGTGTAACCATACAAGTTCCCTAGCTTGCTCTAAAAGTAGTGATTGTTTCTGGTTTACCCTTTTCATGAAGGTATATTAGGAGGATTGATCACTGCTATTATAATTATTTATAGTAATCAATACTATTACTGAAACCAAAGTCCTCTAAGTTAGAAAATTACATGTCATATCTTCAGACAGTTTCCTCCTTAGCCAGTGATAGCTGACCCATTCTTTCCCTTCGCTCATGACTTGATTCTGACTCTTTACATTGCAAATTCTAGATCCCTATTCATTTAACAAAAAACTTGCATTTGTACTTTGCCTTTTCTTTGAGTGATCTTTCTTCTTCCTTGACTTAATAAAAATCTGGTATTACTTCCTTCGTAACTCTGGAATTCTCCAGTTTAGCTTAATCAACCCACGTGGTCAATGTAGTACACATGTCAGAGCAAGAATATTCTCATATCCCATTTTGCGCTTCCCACAACGGTGGCTACTTTAAGCGAGGCCTTGTACTAGGCAGTGCCATGGTTCTTCCCTTGAGTGAATTGTCTAGTAATAAAATGAGGGATACATAGAACTAACTGGTAAAACCATCAGTAAAAGCAATCAAGAATTGTGTAGATAGCCCCTATGATTGCCAGATGACCTGTTTGTTTGTTTGTTTGTTTGTTTTAATCTCCATTAAATTACTCTTTGGCTCGTAGCACATATGGTTAAAAGCACAAGCTCTGGAATTAGACCTGGGTTGAATACAGGTTCCTTCTCTCTGGGATAGCTGTATGATGTTGGTATCTCACTAATTCTTATTGCAAAAATGGAGATGATAATACTTGTTCTGATAGTATCATTGTGAAGATTACATGAGATTACTTCTTAGAGCTGTTGTAACGCTTAGGTTTTCAGTAAATCTTAACTATTATTAACAATTGTTTTACTCACTTTTTAAATTTAAAGCATTTAAAAATTAAATTGTCTGTTTGGTTTTGGTTGGTAGATGTACTTTATGAAAAATCGTGCCCGAAGGCAAGGTATTAACTTAAAACTTCTACCCAATGGATTCACCAAGAGGAAGGAGAATTCAACATTTTTTGATAAGAAGTAAGTTTCTAACTTTTTAGTATATCAGGTGTTCTGATTTGATCAGGATCACCGTTTAAGGTTTGGTTGCTAAAGAGCATTGCTACCCCAAGTGTGATTCTGTAAACTGTTTGCTGTTGGTCCATGACAAGATAACTGTAGTAGTTGTGTGTCATGTAACTCTAATAAAAATTTGGGTTTGCAGAGTGTGTGTGTGTGTGTGTCTGTGTGTGTGTGTTTCTTCATATCATTTGAGAAGCTTCTCAAACATTAATGTGCCTATCAGTCACCTACACATCTTGTTAAATATGCTTGTTGTGATTTTTCAGTAGGCCTGGGTTGAAGTTTGATATTGTGCATTTCTAACAAAATCCTCAGTGATGCTGATTGTTTGAGAAACGTATTTTGAGTAGCAGCACCCTAGAACACTCTCATACTTTAGAAATAAACGGTTTCTTTGAGACCTAAGATGCCAAGAAAGTATTTCAGGGGCTTCCAGGACAAAACAGCAAGTAAAAGCAGGACTCCTGTATGTTTTAATCAAGGCAGCTCTGCTTTTATATTCTTTCTGCATTGGGTTTCTAAATAAGATTTCATTTAAAAGCTGTCAGTGGAGAAGAAGGGGACTTTGAACTCTTTTGAGTATAGATAATGTAACAGATTAGTTTGCTGCTGTCTGAAAAATGTTGAGTTGTAAAGGCCCCAAGAATACAGAGGAGAATAGGATCCCAAAGTACTTTAAGTAGCCACCTAAATTATTAGATGATACCTTTCAGAAGGAAGTCAAGATTTTTTATTTAGAATTTTTAAAAACCTGAGGGAGTCCCTCCTTTTTCAGCCTCTTAGTAACTGTGGGGCCTTGAACAAATCACCTTACTTTGCCTGGGCCTCAGCTGTATGATGTGGGGAGTTGGGCCAAGTAAACTCTAAGGTGCCTTTCCAGTTGTACTCTTCCATAAATTGAAAAGACAGAGCCATTAGAATTATCATTATTCTAGTAAAACTTCTACTTTTTCTGCGGTTAACATAATTAGAAGATGACATTGTCCATTTATTGTGTATAAGACATAAATATTTGTAAAAATGTTTTTTCATTTTTCCTGGTTGTCTTCCAAAAGTAAAGTAATGCTGAAGCAGGTGGATCCCTTGAGGCTAGGAGTTTGAGACCAGCCTGGGCAATGTGGTGAAACCCCATCTTTACTGAAAATAGAAAAATTAGCTAGGTACAATGGCACCCACTTGTGATCCCAGCTACTCTGGAGGCTGAAGTGGGAAGATCAGTTGAGCACAGGAGGCAGAGGTTGCAGTGAGCTGATAACATGCCACTGCACTCCAGCTGGGTGACAGAATGAGACTCTGTCTTAAAAAAAGAAATATTGTCTTGCATTTATCAAATATGAGATGATTCCTTTGTGCATTTTGAAACTGACATATGTAGAAATTGCCGTAATTTGAAGATTATGGTAACTGGTTAGTGCCTTCTCAAATACAAAGTGTGTTCCTGTTTTTTGAAAGAAACTGTTCTGAATGATTGTAATCAGAGATTAATTCCCAGTAATGAAAAGCAGATGGCCTTAAGTATAACATTTTTGTGTCTCTAGATACATGAATGTATGTGGGAAGTTTTTACCAAGAATATTACACAGTATGTTTTCCAGGTTTAGTATATTTTTGGTTTGGAAACTCCCCAAGTCTCTGAAATGGCAAATCAGATTCTTCTTGCATTAGTCTTTTGCTCATAAATTTATAGAGATTTGGGATTGGTTTTCTTGCATTTTTAGTGTTTCCCAGGAGGAGGTTAGCAAAATAGTATGTAATAATAGGCTTAGAATCCATTTCTTAGTCCTTCACCATCTGCAAAATGAAGCTCATGATAGCTACCCTGTAGAGTTATGGCCTTTTAGTGTTTTAATTCACATAGGCAGTAACTGGCATGTGGGAAGGAATCAGTTCATAGTAGGTATTACGTAAATAATACATCTGTATCATTAAACAGTTTAAAGGAAGAATTCCACCTATAATTCCACTATCTAGAGGTGACCACTAATAAAAGTTTGTAATGTTTCCTTCTAATCATGTTTTCTCTTTTATTCATCTAAAAAAGTAAAACACAATATAAAATACTTAAATAAAATTACATAAAGTGACATGACTCTGCCCAAGTTAAACATTAATTTTTTATTGAGAAATACACATCATTTTTTCCTGCAGCTAGATTTTCCATATAGCATACATTGTGAACCTCTTTTCTTGCTAATGCAAATCTACACCTCATTACTTTTAAGTAGGATATTCCATCTTTGACTGTATTCTATTTTATTTAATTATTCCCATATTCATGACATTTTAATTTATACCTGTTTTTAATTATCATAAATCATACTGTACTAAACACCCTTGAACAAATTGTTTTGTGTGTTTACCTGACTTTCCATAGGAACAATTCCTAGAAAGCATAATGACTGGATTAAAGACTACAATGTATTTAAACTTTTGAGAGAAATTCTGCTTTGTCTCTATAAAACATTACCACTTTGTACTTTCATCAAAAAAGTATGAGTGCTTGTTTTAGTTATACCTTAACTTTAGTTTAATATTATCAAACTTTTTTGTGGGCAGCTTTATTAGAGAGGTTGAGCTCTTGGATTTTTAATTTCTTGCTGAGGCATTGCCAGATGTCCACTGCAAGAGGCAGAATCACTGCCGTTTGAGAACTCCTGATTTAGATGAATACAGCGACATACTTATTGAATGTATAGTTCTAATCTTTTCTTGGTCTAGATAATATAATGTAGATAGAATCAGGATTCTAGTGTCTTATATTTTACCTTTAAGAGGAAAAAATGAAAAGAAGACATTTAGAGGTACCTTGTTTGAGATACTTATGTCTTACTAGCTATGCACATGAAAATGAGCAAGGTTTTAGATGATTGCAATGGTATTTGCTGGAAAGAGGGAAGAGAGGAAATGAAATTTTTTCAAAGAATTCTATTCAGCTCCCATATCCCCAGTATTCTAAGAGACTAGTTTTCAATACCTTTTTTCTGTTAACTTTCAAGAGTTGGTTATAGCTGTGACTCTGATAAATGTAAATTTGCATGTTGCCTGTACTGTTTGATGTACATTAGGTGACCTAGGGCAAGATTTGACTTACCAGGTTATTAAGAGGATTAAATGAAATATTAATAATAACTAAAGTAGTACTTGGCACATAGTAAATAATATACAGTGACATTAAAGATTTACATTCCCTTCACTGATATCCTTAGGAATATACCACATTTACTGTGTATTTCATTCACCCCTCATAGGTCTAGGACAACACTGTAATCAGACGGTACTATTTGTACAGCAAAACCTATAATTTACCTTATAGTGGGTAAATAATGACTGTAGGCTGACTCAGGTTTTGCTGCTGAAGGAGTTAAAAATCTTTCAGTTTTGGAGATTTTGGAATTGTTGATATGAGAAGTTGGTCTTATACGAAGACTATTATTAATACTCCCTAGGTATTAAATTGATTGCTTAAGTAACTTGAGCTGCAGTATAGTCAAAATCTCAAGTTCATGTTGCTTAAAATTTAAATGTTTTAACTTTTGAGGAATCTGATCGAAGACTTTTGTACTGTTTTTGTAACTTTTCTATAAAGTCTACATTTGTTTTGAAAAAAAAAGTTGTAAATTTAAAAGCCCACATATGAAGTATGATGAATGTGCCATTGTACCTAAATTACTCTGTAGAACTGTCAGCAGGTGATTGTAACAGCTGGCTGGAATAGGTTCGTTGTAATCCAGGGACGCTTTATGGCAGGCATTTTCACCAGTATGACTGAATCTCCTAAAATTATATGTGAAATTATGTGAACTTTTCTATGAATAAGAACTGTAATTTTCACTGAATAGTCAAAGTGAGGTAAGGTCAAAAATGTATGCAATGGGGATGAATTTTAGAGGACTAGTGAATTTGTAGGAGCATCATAGTAGATAGCTGTAATCAATAAAGTTAAGTTCAGGGAGGCTTATATAAGTTGATACAAAGCAAGATTGACATTCTCTGTTAAAAATAGAGGAGGTTGATAAGGAAAATGTTGGCTCTTCTGCTTATTTTGGAGCAGATCCCAAACTACTTTAAAATAGTGGCTTTTTCAGAGATAATTCCTTTACCACAACTCTTTGTAGGGTCTATAACTTTATGTTCATTTTCGCCCAGTGCTACTCAAATCTGTTGAAAGAAATATGAAAGATCTATATGTAGAAAATGTAAATTCTCCTGAATGACTTAAAAGATGTGAATAAATGGAAAAAAGTGCCACGTTCTTAAAAAACTCAATATTGATTATTTAGTGATCTTTTAAGTCTGATGGCGATCCTAATCAGAGTATCAATGAGATTTTGTTTGTTATTTATTTATTAAGAAGACAGTTCATACATAACTGAAGTTTATTTTGAAGAATAACATGGCAGAGGTACCTGGAAAAAAGAAAAATTATGAGGCTGGACTCATCAAAATTTATGAAGTTATAGTAGTTTTATGATATTGGCCTAGAAATCTGTTACTAGATCATAGAAAATAAACTGTATATTTGGTTCTCTGGTAGATGATCAAGGTAACATTTCAAATTAATACAAATAATTACTTATTTAATAAATAGAGTTGGAACAGCTTACATTTGAGAGGAAATGTTGAATCTTTTACTAAATAATATTCAAGTGGATCAGAATCTTAAAATGAAATAAAAATACTGGAATATTTTCATAATCTTGAAGAGAAGAAACATTCCATCCAGAAGCCAAAAGGAAAAGAATAACTAAATTTATATGGCAAAAGAAGACCATAATAAAGTGAAAAGACTGGACCAAAAAAGTCTTTAACATATATGTCACAGAAGGCTTGTGCATTAGTAAGAAAAAAAGACTAGCAACTAATTAGGAGAGGGGGCAGAGGATAGGAATAGATGGTCGTAGAAAGATACATATACGTGTATAGTATTTGGCTGGTAAACATATTAATAATATCTAATG